ATAAATAAAATATATATTTTCACGAGAGACAAATTAAATAAAATGGGTTAACTTTAGGGGAAATATACTTATCAGATTGGGACAGATAATTTTCAGATATGTACATATATTTTAAATTTTTGCTTTAATTTTTGTCTCCTTTTAATATTTAATTAGATACCTTAAGATTAAAATAAGCTTAAAACGAAACAGCACAGCAACCCTTTTCTGTTCATCTTGAGAACACAAAACCCTCTTTTGTTAAAATTCGGCGCTGCACAAAATCCTGGCTTTTATATTTTCCAACAAAATACCACTTCGCAACCCTGGATTTTCACGAAGCGTTTCATTCGGGTCGTAGTTTGGCTACTTCGGGCCATTCAGTGTTGTATGCCATATTGGCTGCCATATTGTTCACACTGTCATCGCCATATTGAACACCCTGTCAACTATCTGTCAACCCTAAGATATCTCACTTGTATTCTTCCACAATGGTTTCAGTTTTGCTATCGCCGCGAGTTGTTTCGGTGCGCGCATAATTATTTAAAAATATAAAGATTGAACCCAACCGGGGTTTCTCAGGGGATATATAATTTGAAAGTGTCTATTTAGCCAAGGAAAAAGCTAAGCAGTATACTTAAACCAGCACTTCCAGCCGCAGATATTGGCCTAGGTATTCGCACGAGTGTTCCTGTTTTATCGTTTATTTTTAGGAAATTCTTACCACCATATTCATATCGTCACTAGACACGAATAAAGGCGCGAGCTCAAAAGTTCACCGCGAACAAAGGCGCATAAAAAAACTTCAGCGAAGAAAGACTTAACATAGTTGACGGCGAAAAAAGACGCGTTAAAATATTTGACGGTGAAGAAGGACGCGTAAACTTATTTTCGCGGTCAACTATGTTTGCGGTTGTAATAGTATGCACATTCCGTAAAGAGTTTTTGGCGAATGATGCTGAAGTCACAGTCGTTGGTCAGGTATAAATCTATGTTTACGGATCTTTCTTCGCCGTCAACTAAATTACGCGTCTTTCTTCTCCGAAGTTTTTCTTAAGCTCCTTTTTACGTACAATTTTATTATGCGTCTTTTTTCGCCGTCGAAACACTAGCGCGCCTTTATTCATCTCTAGTGACGATATATATTATATACCCTAGGAACTATTTATGTAAATATGTAGGTATTTTTTATGCTTAATATATGCAAATAAAAGAAGAAAGTAAACACAACAACGATCGAGTAAATTTTTATTTGTGTCAAATTGAAACTTTTTTCCAATAATAAACGATTAACTGATTCAAGTCTACAGCAAGTTCACAAAATTAATTGAAAACTTGTATCAACCAAAGCATTGTTTATATTTGCCCAACAATGGTTTGATGCAACTAACAATATTGTCCAATCAAGGAAGTTGTTTTGTGATTATTAACAAATATACATTTGTCCCATCTAGAAGTCTCAAGTAAATTGCAGACTTTCGCGTACTAGATATTTATTTCGCCATATCCAACTATTCTACTTGGTCACTATAACCAAATCTTGTTAATTACTACTATCACTTTTTCTGGTTGTACAATAAACTATAGCGGGATTCAAGTTTCCAACAAGTTCACAAACGTATTTGAAAGCTTTTATCAACCAAAGCCGTATTTATTTCCTCTTAACAATGAGTTGATGCAACTAACAATATTGTCCAATCCAGATAGTGATTTTGCGTTTATTAGCAAATATACGTTTCTCCCATACTTTCACAAAGTAAATATTTATTTCGCCATATCCAACTATGCTATTGGGTTACTGTAACCAAATTTTGGAAACTATAACTAAACCTTATTCTGGGTGTGTATGTTCGCTGTTTAACACTATAAAACCAGTACCTATTGAGAGTTTTAAAAGCAAATTTAATCGCATACTTTTTTAAACACTTGAATTAACATCTTAATGCTTTTTAGTTTCAGTTACCTCAGCTGGGTTACAGAAGTATATCCGTACAAAATATTTCTGTCTGTGCGAAGTCAACCAACGTTTGGATAAAATCTGCGTCACTGTGCTGCTTCGTAGCAAATTTTTTTAAATCCAACGTAATGGAAATCGGCGATAGAAATGTAGCTACGCAAATATTGGGATTTATTCGAGAAATGAGCGAAAAATTATATACGGATAAAAAAGCTATATGTGATGTGTAAGCTTTTATATATGTAAATACTTACACTGAGAAAAGCGTTTAATTTCTGCAACTAAATACACTTAGTGGACGATTTTTCACAAATTTTGAGACTAAGGGCCAGGTTTTCAGTGCACGGCCGTGGTTTAAACTAAGTTTAAACGCCCGACCTGGTTTAAACTAAGATCAGCCAATCAAATGTCAGCCAGCCAGCTGTTCAATTTAAACTCAGTTTACTTAATCTAAGTTTAAACTGGCACTGAAAAACTGGCCCTAAATATTACAAATAGCTGTTGGATTAGTACATCTACGGTCAGCTACTTGCTACAGCTAAGTGCTACTTTAGTTGAAGGATTCTATGGATTTGGTGATAGGAAATAAATATTGTTTCGACACATGGCTCTACAAATTCCATTCTGTTAATACAGATAAGCCTTCTCTCAACACATGGCCTGGTTGTAGTTACTAAATTTTAATTGAGGCAAACGCGATTTGTTTTGAGAGCGAGAAATATTGAGCACTCCCGGTGTTGCGTTAATTTGATGGTAATTATGTATTTCATAGATGGCACATTCAAGCCAATGTGCCAAAATGCGAGTATAAACAATTATTGATTATTTAATATAGGAACCGAGATCATGTAAGTTAATTGATTTGTTTTTTGAAACTCAAATTGTATGCTTTATTACAGCAGACAAGTTGTTGCCAAAACACAGCAGAAATCTTCCGATAACTTACAAATATAAAAATGTGAAATATCGAGGGCTTAAATTCATTAATACCCTCTATCTGCAATTTGCACAAAAACTAGTTTGTAGATTTTAGAAATCATCTGGGACTTATTAGCTGTCATCACGGCATAGCGTGACATGGTGTGGCGCACCGGTCGCGCGGGGTACATGGGGCTCGAGCGCGGTGTGGGGCTCGGACGCGGGCCGCCGCGAAGCTAAGCAAATTTAATGTTGGAAAGAGCAATAATGTCAATGGATTTTATTTTGCTTTTGAGAAGGTAATAATGTCAATTGACTTTATTTCGCACCAGGGTGGAAACTAAAGTCAGTTGACCTTATTTCCGTTGATCTTATTACCTGTCACCTTTGTACGTCTTCAATGCAATTGACGTTTTGGAAGTCAGCTTCTTTTTGTATGTACTTTTACAAGCTTTTATGAAGTTTCACCTGTGTAATCAAATTTCCCGATGAGCCAGAGACTTTAAACTTAATACTTGATTTATGGTCCGATTTTTTTTATATCTGGAACATAAATTACTTAAATGGAAAGAAATACCGCCACAAAAAGTTAGCCGTTAGGTGGTTTGGGGGTCGACCTGTCTTACATTTTTTTAATTACATGTTTATGCTGAATATTATTTTCGATTACAATAAGAAAAGAAACAACAGAATAAATACAGCTACCAGTAGACCAAACTTTTTTTTGTGTCAAGTCCAAATTTTTAGGGAAATAAAATTTTACCAAGATGACAAAACTAACTGGAAAAATATACAAACCATGGATTTTTTAATGTTTGTCAACAATGATTTGATTTAACTAACAATGTTACCGACCCAAGATAGCGGTTTAGTAATTATAATCAAGTAAACGTTTGCCTTGACTAAAATGCTCCAGTATATTACAGACTTTCACCAACTTATTATTTATTTCGCCTTATCCAACTATGCTATTTGATTGCTATAACCAAATCTTGGTAATAACGAAACGCTTTTGTCAGCATGAGTGAATTGTACATAAATAATTGTAGTGTGATAATCATTAAAACAATTCTAAAGCGCAATGGATGACCACGGATCTGTAATTGAATTGGTTGAATACATCCGACTGCTAACTGAAGTTATAAGAAATATGCCGTGGTGTTTAAAGTACAAAGACTGGGATATTGTTATTATTGGATTGAGTTCATGGGTACCTAGGGTACTTAATTCAATTGAGAAGTTCGCGGACTTGAAGGTTGGTTTCAAACACATTTAATCATTGTACAATTGACACTTTTTATTTTTAGGTTGCTTTATTCACTATAAACGTTTGTAGGCTATTTGCCACTTTCGTGCAACTTATTAGAACCGAAAAAAAATGCAGTTCTACTCTATTAATACAAAAAACTATTGATGAATGGGAATACTTATTTGAAAAGGATGTATCTTGCGGTATATTTAATACGTTCTACAGACTTCTACAAACACAAGGTTAGTAACATTTGGAAATATAATTTAATGTCTAGATAAATATTGGCAATTCAAAACTCTAAGTTATCAGAATTCATGAAAATAGCCTAATTGGATAGTTTGGGTAATAAACTGTGGTAACATGTAAAAGTTCTACCATCCCAATGAGCATTGCGGTGAATGTACGGAAATAACTTTAGATATGCAACTTTAGTTTTTCATTGTTAACAGTACATATGGCAAATTTCATAATACTAGGTCTATTCATTTGTAAAGGACTTCCAAAAGCACACTCGTTTAAATGCCTATTTGTATGTAAAGCAACAACACAACTTGTACAATTATCCAAGTTGATTTCAACTCGTATAGCGATACGCGAGTTGGTGTGAGGTCCATCCAAATTCAAATGCGGCATTGTTTTGACCCAGTATATAATTTCAGGAGTTAAAAGCCCTTCCGGAAGGCCTTCTTGAGAGTCAAGAGGCTTTCCACTCTACATTCCCTTCTCCTTTCTTTTTTATATAGAGTGGCACAAATTGGAGGGCTTCATTCACTACCCATGGAAGCGTTCCCACGACAGTCGGGTCTACGTAACCGGAACGACCCAGACTTATATTTGGCCAAGGACTGTCACTCCAGCAACACTCCCCAAAAGCTCTTTGGGGAGCTTGTATGCTGCTACAACAACAACAATTTTTAATTTATAAAAATCTTACATTTTTGAAGCATTTGCTTATGATTTATATCAAATATGTGTTATTGCAACTTAAAATGCGTACTGAAATTCATTTGTAATGCTAAATAATATAAATTTATGCATNGTGTATATGTGTTATTGCAACTTAAAATGCGTACTGAAATTCATTTGTAATGCTAAATAATATAAATTTATGCATCGCGTAAATTGTAAATGGATAAGCCCTACTAGAAGGCATGCAAGGAGGCGCTTTTTTAGCCGTTCTTGGGTAGGCTTCTTAGAATGGCTTTACTTAAGAAGGCCTACGTAAATTATCTTCTGGGGATTGTTAATGAGAATAAATTGGAAAATTTCCAATTAGGCGTCAAAGTATTTCTCGAAACCAAAAAATTTACAAAAAGTCAAACAAACCGAAAAAAGTAAAAATTCAGTAGCAGAAGCCATTTTCGATGCTGTCAATTGTTTGCTGCTGTCGGAGTTTTGAGCTAGGGCACGAGCTTAGGAATAATCGAACCTCTATAGTCTAACTTAGGTCAAGCTAGCGCAGTGGACTAAGGTCCTACAGAACTAGGATTGACTCGGTTGATCAACGCATTCCACCCACCTGACACCTGAAGAGCTTTGGACGAAGTCGAGAGAAATTGCACGCTAAAGGCATCATATGGGGAAGATAATTAACTGCGAATTTGTATAAATGCTGCTAAAAAAAACAATGTTCAAGAAAATTACCTGAAGAGAGACAACTTATCCAATAAAGTTAAATTAACAAGACGTTTAACACGTTTCACCGATGAGTGACCTCTATAGAGTTATATGACCTACAAGCATCCAATAGAGAATATATAATATACTAGCTTTTGCCCGCAGCTTCGCCCGCGTGATGTTTGGTTTAACGGAATTATTTTAAATGTAACAAAAATTGAAACAAATAATTTCACCAAACAAATACATACATAAGTACTAAAAAAAATGCGTGTGTAACACCGTACACATGATAGAAGTGAAACTTCTTAAAAAATGTGTGAGTATCAGGTACCACCTCACGAAATTGGATGTGTAAACATATGTTTACGGTTCGGCAAACCATAGGCGATTGAGTTACATACATAGGTTTGGTTAGAAATCAAAGAATAATTTCATTTCATCTTATTAATTTTCTGATATACATATAATTTATTTATTCATTTTCCGGTAACACCACCTTATATGAATTCGCGCTTCTAGCATCCATAGGACCGGATTGTAATGGAAGTAATTGTATGTTTAACAAATAAATGAAAATGCTTATAATGCAATCAATAGATCCTTACGAATTCGCCTTTGCCAAGGCACTAAGTAACGTACGCAATTTTGTTTGCAAAATGCATTTATTTAAGTTGAAAGAAGACAAATTCCTTTGTTCGGCATTTATTCTTACTCGCTTTCTATCTTCCAAGGCGAATTCATATATTCTTATCACGAATTCATATATTCATGTGGTAGCAAGAGTATAAAAACATAAAATTACCTTATAAATTAAAAGCATAAGTATCACATGTATGCGTAGTCCAATTCACGAAATCATTTCATCGATCTGAGTAAAAACTAAGTGCATAAACTCTATTTCGCGTTAATTGAAATCATGAAATGGTGTTCATTCATTCAGTTTCTACTCAAACGCATGAAATGATTTCATGAATTGGCCTACGCATAGTGGTAGTAAATGACAGAATGAATTACAAAAAAACACATCCTTTTGACATAATGCAAGCCGAAAACGTTGGCTAAAATCAATCCGCAATCAAGTTGGACGTTTCGCCCACAAACATTGCAATTTTGCAATTTCATAGTTTCGGCTTATATTTATAAAATTCAACGAAAGCACGTACCTATTTCGGCTGAGTTATCCATATTCGGTTATTTAGTGTACAAAATAAACGCAAATTAAATGAGTTTGTACATGGCCATTAATGTAGCGATAAGATGTACAACTTGCCAGAAAATCCACATTTTTTGATCTTTCATACAACCAAGACATAAATTGATTCAACAGGCCCACAAACGGTGCAATCTAGAGCAAAACAACACCAAGTTGATCCAACGGTCGCTACGTTTATGGCTTTCTTTGAGAAACATTGGGCGAAAATTTCAACTGCTCCTTTTACACTACCTTATATAAGTTGGCCTTTTCTATCATCCTCACATATGTTCTTCAGAGTATACCAACGAAGGACGAGTTAATACAAGGAGATAGCGAGAGTACAAAACTACTCTAGAAAATTACAGGCACAATGACAAACATAAACAAATGTACAACAAACACATAATTTTTGACAATATATATATGTATACATACATACGTGCATTCAAACATACATATATATGTACATATGTAGGTACTCGTACCCGTCATGCGTCGCTTATTTCTTTTTTCCCCTTCCCTATACTACCTATATCTTCCTTCTCACTCATGTAACGTTTTCAGTTTTAAAAATTTCACTCTCCATTTTTGCGATACCGCCGCCTAAGAAGTTTCACTTCAAGAAATGAAGCAAGTAAAAATGAATGAAATCAACTGTAATACAATTCTGTAAACATTGTTTCGAGACTTATTGTCATGGCACTCGATAAATGAGAGAACTCAACGTAGAGTTGTCCATACGACAAACATGGTGTGCCCAGATGTAGTCCTGTTTGTCCTTGGTTTTGAGTAGTCGGTATAGCTAAGGCTACTTTTAACGGAAACTGCAACCGTTTAAACTGAAATGACATGTTTGTTGGAATTATGGGAATTCGTGGTATCTATACTGATTGTCGTTCGCACATACGAGGTGCATACAGGTTACACATCAGTTTGACTGGCACCCCAACCCTTAATTCCAGTTTTGTGGGACGACACCCCTGAAAATTCTAAAGAGTTTAGAAACAATGTATCCTGTTGCCTCCTCATTTGCCGTCACTGTATCAACAGACATGTATGTATGTGGTCGCCTTACCAGGCACTTTATCAATAATTATTTTATTGATGTTTCCCACTGATTCATTTTTAGGTGCCAAGATTGCTCGTTGGCATAACCATCCAATGCTGCATGCTTGTGTGATATTCGTCCCAATTTTTAATTAATTGTATTGTTGCAACATAGCCCCGCCACCACTGTTCTCGCTAATGTTGCAAGTTGGTGTATCCTGGTTCGCAAGGTTCAGAGAGAGTTTAAACGCCGAGTGTGCAGTTCCTCCGCTGAGCAAGGTATCTGCTATCCCTGAGGATGTAACCGCTAGTACAACATTTATATCCTGTGCCATGAGAAATGTCTTGCCAGTTCCCCGGTGCTTGCAAGAAATAAAGGTCCCTTCTCCGCCCTCCACGCGGCTCATAAGTGGGAAATTTGCCTTTGCTCGGGTAATAGTTTAGGTTCTGTTTCGTTAACTTGAGCCGCCAAGTTCGTGGTGCTATAATTCAACTCCCTGAATAACTCATTGGACAGTTCTCCCGGTGGTTGCAGATTGGGCATGCCGAAACCGAACATCCGTTTCCCCATCATTGAGGAAACGTTATCCTTATTTAATCTCAGAGCTTTGTTGGAATATTCGTCATCATGTGCTGTTTCTTTAAATCTTTGGGCGATGTCTTCAAAAAAAAGCGCTTTAAAACTTTTCCCATAGTTGCAAGAGGTTTGAAAGTCCATTTGATTTACAATGTTAATTAAATTAATTTTAAGTCTGTGAAAAGGTGGCACCTCTTCAAAAATATTTCTGAAAAAAAAAATCGTTTTGACCCTCTTTTGATTGAGACGCACTTTGTTGTAATATTTTATCTATCCAGATGATAGACTATAAGTGTAATTTCATTTAAATACGTCCAGCTCTTTTTGCGTGAAAGAGCTACGATCAAAAACACTCACTTACTCACAAACTTTCGCATTTATAATATTAGAAGGATACTAGCGGGTTTAGTGAAAGCTTTATTTTTAAAATCAGTTTGCAAATAATTATACAGCCTTATCATGAATTTTCATGTCGTGTGAACTCGTTCGCATTTCGCCCATGTAGTTTACAATAGGTGTTGAATATTCCAGAGAAGTGGTTCACTTGGAATCATTTTCACACTATCGTTTACCGTATTCACAAGTGAAATAACTGTAACTCGCACAGTTAAACCCGAAAAACAATTGCTAAATTTTCCAAATGTATGAATACNTAAACACACAGTTCACAGTTAAACCCGAAAAACAATTGCTAAATTTTCCAAATGTATGAATACTCGTACGTATGCTCAAGATTGTAATTGTATTTAATGGCTTTGACAGTGGTTAACTTTGAAATTTCTATGTGAAATTCCATTTCG